GTCCTCATTATCGCCAAAAGTGTCCAATGGATCCGATGTGTGATCAGTAATTCAATACAACACTTCACTCGCAACTGATGGCAACAAATCAATACACAAAATGGTTTCAATACATCAATTATGTTATGTTTTGTCCCCTTTTTTGCACTCATTTTGTATTCATTGGTTTCAATTATGCGGACGTTTTTAATGTTTAATAAAATATGTTATAAATTATACAACAAATTATGTTTATATGCGAAGAGGGGTTACAACTAATATGAGGGCGTTTTCTATTCAAAAACTATTGTGGGCTACAGAGATGGCTAAATAAGTGCCCCCACTCTGAATGACTCAATTTTTGGCGATGAATATTGAAGTGAAGGTTATATCGTATACTTTATTGCATATCACGAATCCTAAATGCTTTTAATAATGGCGGACAAATCGCCATGGTAAAGATCAACACACATTAATGTGTTTCATCATATGATATCGACTCACTTCTTGTGAAAACAAAACATTACGTCCAGTTTTGTGCCTTTTTAAACGTAGTTTGTTGTCGAGTTTGTCTGATTGTCTGATAGAAACTCGCTCATTGATTGGACGATTAGACAAACGCGACAACAACTACGTCCAAAAAGGCACAAAACTGGACGTAATGTTTTGTTTTCACAGGAAGTGAGTCGATATCATATGATGAAACACATTAATGTGTGTTGATCTTTACCATGGCGATTTGTCCGCCATTATTAAAAGCATTTAGGATTCGTGATAATATTTTTGTATATATTTTGTTAATTAATAACGTTTTCCACAAATGAGTGAAATATATGTATAAATGAATGACACATAATATGGGGGACCGATAAACACGGCTTTAGTATCACGTTATTTATGACTAATGCGTGAATTGTAAGCAAAAGTTTATTTTGAAGTGTAATTTGATTGCAAGACTTATTAGTCGTTTACTGTTGTAATGGTTTGAGAAAATGAGACAAACGATGGATCAGTTGTGGTGAAGATGTGGTGGAGATTGAGTTTGAGTCAGTTGGCGGGAGTGGCCGGAGCCGTGGGAATAGTGGGCGCCGGAAGCTCTTTGGTACTCATCCATCGGACCAGACTTCAGATCACTCGCGAAGACTATTATACGAAGGCATTCACCGCTTTGGAGGCCAACAAAGCGGCCACTGATCTGATTGGCCGACCGGTGATGAGGTCTAAAATCAAGTGGAGTGACGACAAGAATAACAGTGTCCAGAGTCTGACCACTCGACTCAAAGTCCCCATCAAAGGTGTCCACCGGTCCGGACATCTGTTTATATTTGCCGATCGGCAACACGTGGACAACGAGTGGACTCTAAGACGTCTTGAGATTATCTTTGATGACATCATAGATAAGAAAGTTATTGTATATAAAGATGAGACCAATTATTAGAAAGTTTTAAAAACTTTTGATAAATTATATACTAATTGAAACATTGATTACATTTCAATAAATCATGATTTTATTTATTAATTTAATGTTTGAACAAATTGTGATGAATTAAGAATAGCTTTGATGGCCTCTAAGACCTCCTGAGCCGTCGGCACAATCATCTCTTTGGGCAATAAATACCCGAATTCTCCCAAATCTCTTAATTTAAATTCAAAACTTGTCTTTACTTTCAAATGATTGTGAATCCAATCAATACTCGATCCATAAGCGGATTCTAACAAAGAGTTTTCAATTAAATGTTAGTATTTGTAGCAATGGTTGGAAACAGTCTTGTCATTAGACTTCACTATCTATTGTTAATAATTACTGATTAGATGTGAAGTCGAGCCCAACTTATAAGTAAGACCTGAATGAGAGTGAATGGCATTAGCGGCCAATTGCGCCAAATTCTGTAATTCAGTGCTATTTTCGGCAAATTCTTGATTGTATTCATCGGACGGATAGAGGATTTGTTGCTTAAATGAATGCAACGAAAAGTATGCCTTCAAGCGATTAGTTAGACTTAATTTGAATGTAAATTCTCTGAACGCAATCACTTCCGGCTCTGAATACGGATAATCACCGGAATAATAATCGCTACAAGAATTGAGCTCTTCATCAGATTCTGTGCCAAAATTAGTCTCAAAATTGCGGTTCAGATCAACGCCGCGACACAAGAAGGATGTGATCGAAAATGAACGACTCTTACGCCACAGCCTATCGGATCTCCAACTATAAGCATATCTATTGTTAACAATAAAAAATTAAATGAATTCTTATTTAATTCAAACTAATTTGATTGTATATGTAATACCCGTCGGGATTGAAAATTGGTATTAAATTGAATTCAAAATTTTCAATTAAATATCTCAGCGATTGATTAGCGATAAGTTGGTTCATAATGTGAAGAGTTGTGGATCCGGTCACCCATTCTTTCGAGTGAATCAAACTATCGATAAGTATAACTGGTTTCGTATTATTCTTCAGATCACTACTGATCCGAATAATTGGTATTTTTCTGCCCTCAAAAGATTTGCCAATTGAGTCGATATTAACGAAATCACTTTTAATCACATTATTCTCCAAGAACTCCATTATCTCATAATAAGTATGATATCGACTGAAATTAAACTCAGTTTCATTGCTATGTTTTTGGTGTTCAACCCTTTCCTCTTCAATAGCTTTTTGCAGGTCTTCTATAGAAACCGTGAAATTAATATTTAGTTGAGTTAACTCTTCCTTTATTAGAGTTTCCTCTTCTGGTGAACTGATTTGTATTAATACCGGTTCTAAAGGATCCTTAAAATATGGTTCATTCCAGTAATCAATCTGTCATTTGTACACATAATGTTCCCAATAAACGAATCAGTAAATGACCAAGGCAACTATTAATCAAATTATTATTTACTAAATACCTGGTATTTCTTCTCGATGCCAATGATTGCATTCAAGTCTCTAATAGAAAGCGGTAATAATTTGTATACTTTATGTCCCGTATAGTTAGCGGGTCTCTCGTATGCCATCACAACACCGATTGTGATAAATACTATGATTACAAGAATTGTCAACAAAAACAACACAATTAGAAAAGGTTGCAATTTTTTGAAGATTGTTTTGTTGGGCTTTATATTGCGACGACTGGTCGCTCGATAGATCTCGTCGTCATCCGAGTCGTCCATTCTTTCGTAATTGAAATTCTTGTTTGTCGACAATTCAATCATATTATCAGTATTTTGAGTTAACATAGTTTACAACAAACAACAAGTGCTGAAATTTATGATTATAACAATAATTAGTTAATAAAATGATTGTTTAATGGATGAACTTAATCTATTGAAAGTAATATTGTTAATGGCATTTAGTCTATAGAATAATTATTGTGCAAAAATATTATTTAACAAATAAATTATTCTTTAAATGTTGTCATAAATGTATATTTCATTTTCGGTTAATATTTTTCACGTTTACTTTTAATAATAATTATTATATATAAATTTGGTTAATACTAAATTAATACAACTTATTATCCTAAATGTTTAAACAAGCTTTTATTTATAAAATATTTAATTCTGTATAAATGTTTGTAATTTATTTAATTTATTAATTTAAAAAGTACTAACATAAATTAACCTTAAATAAAATCTACTGTATTTTGAATCGTAATAATATGTAATTTTATGTAAGTTTTAATTTTTGGAAATTAACCGAAATCTCAATGAACTAGTTTGAATTGAAGGCAAATTATTACAAACAAAAATGATTTTGCTTTTTATTGAGAATAAATAAATATTTAATACCACAAATATCATAAATTAATTCATGATTTATAGCTAAAATGAATGAATAATAAAATATAATGTTATTTCATGTTTAAAAACTATTATTATATTTCTAAAGAATTAATGCTAAAGAATTGCACCAAATTTATTGCATGTGTAAACAAATAAATTTATTTTTAAACTTATCATTGAAATAAAACATTTAATTTTTTAATTAATTAACTATTTTAAGCATTTTTAAATAATGTAAAACTAAAAACATTTAAATAAATTTAAAGTTCTATAGAAGTTGAGTCGTCAGTAGGATTGGGTCGAGTCTTGGGGTAAATATAAAGTGGTTTATTTTTAGGCGAATAATGCTCTTTATTGAAGAAATTAAACCCCAATTTCAATACAACCATTAAAATCATTCCGACTCCTAATCCGATCATTATGTAAAACCAATGGCTTTTAACATTTTCATGAATAGTACTTTGTGTCGCTTTTGGTTCTTCTTAAACAATGTTAATCAATAGGAATTGTTTTGATATGTAATAAATAGTACCTAAAGTTTTACAAACCTAAACATTGAACGGTTGAGGGTCTTGCAAAAGTTGGTCGTATTTGAGGTGTTTTGTTATATTTGTCAACAATTAAAGCGACGATAAATTCATCGTAATTATGATATTTTGTTGTCTCATAAAAGGATTCTTCACAATTGAATAGATCTTTATAAATGAACTTTTTTGCCAAATCTTTATCACTGATTGAATGCTAAAATTAAATTTCACAAACAAATAGTAATGTTTTAAAAATAAATAAATGTTTATTAATTAAAGCCTTACGGGAAATCTATACGAAGGAATTTTTATGAAACTTTCGCCACAAATCAATATAACATTATTATCGTTGTCTTCAAAGGCAGCGTCGATACCGACGGGAAGTTTATCATTAAAATTTTTGGCAAAAATTCGGCCGATTTGTGTCCAATTATACATTTTCTTAAATGGATTTATTTCCCAATAGGAATCGCCTGTAATTTTATTAATAATTATAATTTATAAACATATAAAATATTGTCTCTAAAGCCTATTATACCTCCAAACATGTATACCATTCGGTGTATTTCATCCCAATATTGAACCAAAATTAATGAATTGATAGAATTGAATGCCTTAACATTTTTGGATTCAATGAATTCAAATTCTTTAAACGTATAGATTGTGTCCTCCTTTTAATTAAAGAGTTGACAACTATTTATTTAAAACAAAGATTAAGTATTTAGATAACTGTTATATACTTTAAACAAATATGTGAATCCATTGTTATCTTTAAAGGCGGCACTAA